TTGGCTAAATTACTGTAAATCATGTATTGTGTTGATTCTGTATATGCGTTCAAAGGACAGTATCAATATAAGTCCTGAACAAAGAAACTTTTATTATTTCTGGATAAAGAATTTCATAAAATATTTTTGTTTGGCTGCTGGCTTATGGAGGTGTGCTAAGCACAAAGTTATGAGCCCATTGGTAAATAAACAAAAATGAGCTAGAATTTTTTTAACGTGGTCAGACAAAAATGAACAAGCTGTAGTGCAACAGGAATTTCCATAGAAATGAATCAGTTCCTTTGTTTAAGGAGAAAACACTGTCAACCTCACATTCACCGGGAACTTCATTAACATAAATGATGGAACAAAAACTTCTTTCAAATAAAATTGAGGAGGAAACTACCAGTAAATAACCTAAGCAAGCTTTAAAAAAGTCTGAGCATTTGTTCCACACACATACTTAAAGTACCAACCCCATCCCCCTCCCCACACATCCCATTAAAAAAAAACCAAATGTTATAGAAAGGGTCTGTAGAAAAAAATTGCCAGACAAAATTCACACACAGAAAACAGATAAATAAAATTTTGACATCCTCACCTCACTTTTATATAATTAAGATTCAGAAAAGGCAGGTCTTATACGAAAAACATACTTGATGAACTTCTCTCCACAACAAACTAGGAAAATATAATTATATATGCAAGTGTGTATCTGCCCTCGGTGATTTGACTTAGATCATTTAGAAGGCAGGCTTCTGACCCTGCCTGCCAAGACCAGCCTCGGCTTAGAGTGATGTTACATCTTGCAGAAAGACCAAGATACCCAACAAAAATTATTTCCCATTCGGAAATTGATCTAGAGTCTCTCACGTGCAACAGCGAAGCACCTAACCGCTACACCACAGACATCAGTGGGAAAACAAAATAACATTACACCACTGAAAATACAGTCAAACCTACTCAAACTGCCACCTGTATATACAAGCATTTCCCCATTTCCTCCCTTGCGTATTTTTATAATGACATAATGACACTGTGTAAGATGACCAGCAGTTTAAAGTGGCTGTCTTAGACAGAGGTGGCTGTCTTAGACAGTTTCGACTTTCTTCTTCTTGAAGCAGATAAAATATTTCATAACATGTCAGAAAATAATGCTTGACACTATACCCTACATTTTCCTTTCAGGCAACAAAAACAACAGCACTAGAAAAACAACAAGACAGGAATTGCACTTCGATATTATTTTTCCCAGACAGTAAGAAAAAAAAACCTACTTGCAGGAGATTTATGCTCCCCCATCGACACTTTCAAAATTATTAAAGAGGCGGGCGGCTTCAACCCTATCTGTCGGGGCCAACTCAGGCTGAGAGGGATGCAAAATCTCAGCAGAATGACAGTAATGCTTAAAATTTAAAAATTCTCCCCACACAGGAATCTATCCCATCTCTCCTGCATATGACAGAAAAGTGACTAACTGCCATGGAAGAGACACCGGTCCAGATGGTAAGCCTACCGTTACTTACTCTCCAACATAAAAAGAATCCTAGAAAAACCACGGGCTTACAACAAAAGCATAACAAATCCTCTCCCGCGCTCTTCTTTTCTTTACACAGGAAATGTTCTCTTGCTGAAAGATCCAATATGAAAAGCCAATTTATAGACAAAAAGCCAATTTATAGACAAAACCTCCCAAAATAAAACGAAAAATCGTGATCCAAATCAAAATGAAGACTTGACGAGCAGCAAACCACTCAAAGAAGAAATTTTGTCATGTAAGAAAATGTGTCCTTTTTCCTGTTCTTCATTTATAATAGTAATAATAATAATTCGCTTGTCAATGCCTGACAGTGATGATTCTTTTTTTGCAAACAATACTACTCCTCGCTTTGAAAATATTTAAACTTGTAGGCAAAACATGAACTTAATAAAGGAATTTGTAGATTACACGCTACTTCTGACTTTATTTTGATTGGTCACACGACAAATAGGAGTAGAAGCAGATGCCTACATAATTCGAGGTAAGAATCTGGTAAGACCCAACTACAACAATCTGCTGGCAATGGTTATGAACCTCATCAAACATAAAATACAGTATAACACGGATAGGTCGAACACAGAAGACTCAAATTCAAGCATCTGTAGAACTGTGCTGTAGTCCCGTTCTTCTTTATCTTTGCAGATATCCCTCAAACTGCAGATTCCTCCAACTACCAAGGCCGGTCCTGACAAATTCGAGCTATCCATGGTATACTGTAGATGGATTTGGTGCCAATATGAGCGAAATCTAACTCCAAGCACTACATAAAATCTAATGGGTTCAAAGGGGAAAACTGCAATGGTACATGCACAATGAACGCATAATGCTCTTTTTCATGGGAGCTGAGAGGGAAAAATTACAATCAGAGATGTTTTTTAAGCCCTCATTGAAACAATTTCGATCATAACAGGGAAGATAAATGCTAATAAAGTATTGAGACAAGTGCTCAATGGTGCTGCAAGAGCACATATATATAATATGCAACAGAATTAGGGACACTGCACAAGTCCAAATTATGGTTGTAGATAGAACGTTTTTACCTCCGGGCCAGCAGTCTCTCCCACTCTCTTCCCTATACAAAGCCCCCACTGACTGAGGCACCAAACAAAACAAGGGTATCTACTCTGTGGACCTGTTGTGAAGCAGCAATCACACTCACTCGGCAAACAAACAGATGACCTTTCACCTTTCAAGCAATTAAGTTACACCTTCTCCCACGCAAAAGACAAACCATAAACAAACTAATTAAGGTTGGAGGTTACTGCACTGAACAAGCCACTCCCTCCTCCTTCCCTCAGCAATGATGAGCACAGGTCCCACATACACACTACTCACCTACAACATCATATATTTTTTTTTATGAAACATGTTGACAACAGCAAAGCATTCACTTCACAAGAAGAAGTTTCATCATGGAGAATGACGCACGCGAAATTCAATAAATGAAATTATGACAATTTGTAAAAAGGCAAAAAAATGAAAAAGTAAAAATGTCAAATGATGTGCAACGCAACAGAAAGTCGCTATGGATAGGTAATGGTAGTGGCATTGATTGTCCTTGACCTAGTTGTCAGCCCCATTGCTGAAACAGCGGTTGTATGCGGTCCCCCCCCTCCCCCCCCCCAAAAAAATCACTTCTTGTAGAAATCAAACAAACGGGCTGCAGTTTCACCTAAATTAACCCCTTATTTTTAGTATAGACGATAATAAAGTATTCTATTCAGACACTCAATATTTTTTTTTTATCTTTAAAAAAAGGGAGAGTATAGCTCAAAGTTTTTTTGGTCTTTTTTTGACACAGTTGAACCTGTGTAAGAGGGAATCGCAATGGAGAGGGAAAAAAATTCCGTCTTAGACAGGGGAATTTAGGGGGGGGGGGGGGGTCAAAGGCCCAGCCGGTGGGGTCAAGGATCGCTTGTCCGATCGGCAAGCAGTGGTCAAAACTTCACACTTCTCAGCTGCTATCTTGTCTGATAATGACATGGGTCAGTCTTGCGTATCCAATTACCCTCATTGCTTGCCTTTCATAGGACCACTGTTTGACCTATTAAAAACAGAAACGTTTGAACATCTCCTTTGCTTCCACCCTTAGCCCCACCCACCAATGCCACCCCTCACGGCCATCATGTAACAACGATTTGAGGAACTCTTTTCTCGGCTGGCCGTACGATCAGGGCGGCAGGCATTGGTCAGTCTAATTTCACACCTCTAGTTTCTGGCTACCCAGAAAAGTTTCCGTAGCGGCTCGCTACTCGAGCACTCTCACGGGCAGTCATGAGATTTCACACCCACACCTCAGGGCTCACATGACGGGGTAACATCTAGATGGTCAGTATAAGAACGTATAGGGTAACATCTACCCCCAAATTGCTCCCCTACTCCCCTTCCTCACCCAGCGGCATGGCTATGGCCTTCAGTTTAGAGCCGACGGAACCAAACTTGCGAGTTCTGTTTCAAATCAGGGCTAAACGGGTAAAGCATTTTCCGTCTTAGACAGGTGAAACCCTCGGAAGGGAGCGGATTTTTCTTTCCGTTTCCGCGTTGGACAGGTTTCCGTTTTACACAGGTAATTAAAGAAGAATATACCAAGGGGGGAGCGGGGAGATTCCGTTAAGACAGGTTTCCGTTTTACACAGGTTTCCGTTAAGGCAGGCTCGACTGTAGTTATACTATTTGACTGTCAAATCTAACCATCTATCAGGGATACATGAGAAATAAGTAGGCTATGAATCGGCACTAAGTAGAAGAATATTGTTCATTTTATGAAAGGGACAGAAAAATCCCCACCAAGAATACATTGTCTGTACTGTATAAATAATCGAAAAATCAAACTGTCAAAAAAAATTCTCTTGGGACTCTGGCCGCTTCGGCTTTGTTTGCATCATGAAAATATTGATGGTTCATCAACATTGATGTATCAATAATGTCGATGGTTCAATAATATGGATAAATCCACAATATTGATGGTTCAACAAATTGATAAATCCACAATATTGATGTTTCAACAATATTGATAAATCCACAATATTGATGGTTCAACAATATTGATAAATCCACAATATTGATGTTTCAATAATATTTATGACAATGGAATTTTATCCAGCTTTCATAACTTAAACAGCTTCTCGAAGTACCAATTATCTTGTTCCATTTGTAAAAAAAACCCAAACCCCCCCAAAAAAAACAGGGGAAACTTCTAGAAACTGTCTACAGCTACAAAGTTTTTGCTACAAAAGAGACGGGCACGTAGGACCCTCCCAGAATACCACTGGGATGCTAGGAGCAATCTACGACTATATTATCACTGAGCAGGGTATAAACAGGAAAACAATGCTGCTTGTGATTGACTGATGGATTACACACATTCCACGCCCTCATCCACAAAATTTAAACCATTCATGGGGACACGTCAACAAAATGAGTCATACTTAGTCTTGTAATCCACCAATGCCGATATCAACCGAAAAAAGACATTGGGGTCAATTTGTAGACTTTCAACTGTTGCCACTTTCTTCAAGTAAAGCAAGTTTTTTATTATTTCTTGCTCATAAACTGTACAAAATCCATCTATAAATTTGACATATCTATTTCCAGTGGGCTAAAATCCGAGTTTTAACTCATTTTGTCGGCACCCCTCACATTTAAGTGGTGGGCTGCTATGACCATGCCTGTCAAGGCCAGCCCAAGTGGAATGGGATACATTTTACTAGGAGGACGAAGGAGATACATGATAAAGTAAACATTCCAAAGAAGAAACCAAGCTCATGTTCTCTGAGTGTAATGGCAAAAAGCTTAACTATCATGGCGGCCAGTCTCCTGCCTGTAACGCGAGACACGGCTGGTCCAAAGAAACCAGTAGCCTGTTATTTCCCCACACAGACGACCAAGCTTCACCACAGACACCAGTCGTAGTGACGTGGATAACAGGGATATACACCATGGTGCTTCCACCACCAAATACCCATAACCGACAAATTTTGGCTGCTCAGTTAATTTTCCCCTAGCACTACATTCCCTTGGCCTACTGCCATGAAGGCACTGCCTCAAGACATAAAGCTCAGTAGCTTTTACAATAATAACAAGAATAATAATAATCATCATCATCATCATCATCATGATAATAACAATAATAATAAATAGCATTTGTACAATGCATATCCCAAGCTCTATGCATTTTACAATCTATAGCAGCAGATCATAAGAACATTCAGAAACATTCTCGGCATCCCAGGATGTATACACAGTGCTAGCTGCGGGTTGCACGCGCTAAAACACAAACAAACTGACATGATCTTTCGCTGTCAAACCCCAGTACCCAATCCCATTTGAATGAAGTATGCCTTCCCACGGATACAATGTTGAGCCCCTGGTGGGATTCAAACCAACGACCCAATGGTTGAGAGTCCAACAGCCTTACACCTCCAAAGCCACACCCAGGCATTATAGCCAGTGGGTCAGTCCATCTGCACAGCCGCCACTTTAAACAACCGGCACTGCATAGAAACCAGAGTCAAACAACCAAAAGCCAGAATTCAGCACAAACCTCAGATTAAGTTTTGGCGAAGGCTTTTCTTTTTCCCCCGAGCAATTTCAGTGTGGAATTTTTCAGAGTACTGCTAGCTTGAGGGATTTTGAAAACTGGAAACTGGCAGAAATGCAGCAGACTTGAAGCACCCACACCAAAAAGCACATTGCACAAATATGGCACACAGACACACACAGACATCTGACACCAATTTTGTAGAAGTGTATAATGCAATACAAACATCAATAAAAGACAATGTTTATAAAAGAAAAGAAAACATATATAAGACAGAAGTGTGCGGACATCTTGGATCAAGGCAGTTGACAAAACTGATCACATCATGAAGTCATCAGCGAACACTCCCCCACAACAATGGCAAACTGATGACATTATAACAGGGGTGGGGGATGGAAAAGCACTTCAAATTCACTCATCCTCAAACTCACAAGATCATTTTCTCTTTACTTCAACCTCTTTCATTCCTTGTTTTTCACCTTCAGAATTCAACACCAGCACACTCTAAAGTTCTCATGACTGACAGCTACTTCTACAAAAGAACAACATCTGTGGTGTCTCTTAGAACTACCAAAATTTTTTTTCTCAACTCATCCTCAAAGACAAGTCAACCCGAGGTGGAGCACAAACAAAGGGTTGAACTTGAGAAACGCTACATTTGAAGCTTCTAACAGCCACCTACCCTAGACAATCATCTGTACAAGTAACCACTTCCCATTTACTCTCGTGCATTTTTTCAATATTATAATGAACCTGTCCAGGATGGTTGCCTGTCTAAGAAAACCACTTTCTTCTTCTGCAATGGATTGCCCTTTATGACAATTTCTTCAACTTTATCTAAAGAACTGGCACCAATATTGCATCCTCATCTACCGATAACAATGGTCATTTAAAAAAAGTGAAATAAGGTGAAAAGTCTGCAAAACCTTCAGATAAAGTAAGAACCTCCAAGGTTTCCCTTTGTGAATGTACAGCAATCATATATCTCTTCATCACTTTAAAAAAGCCAGCAGAAACAGAAATCGGCAAACTCCATTCATTTTCCACCAAGATGCTCTCAACAACAAAAATTCTTAGTTTATATCGGTGTTTCCCTGCCACCCATCTATTCAGCTTTTCTGAAAGAGTTGCTCTCAGACTACTCCCTCCCTCATTTTCCTTCTATTCACTTCTATTCCATCACAAATACAGTTTTAAAAAATTTCAAAGTAGAACTAAAGAAATAACTTTCGTTAAAAGTTCTCTTCGAGTAAAAAAAAACAAAAAAACTGCCACTTTTCTTTCATGAAATGCAATGAGAGTGATGATGCTATTATGATCCAGGAGTGGACAGACAGTGATGAGAAAGACGTGGCTAGACCAGTCACGAGTTCCCGTCCAGCCCGTCCACGATGCCGGACTTCATGACTTGCTGGCGTACCAGAATCTCCAGCTTCTTGCGGCAGCGTTTCTCCTCTTCCAACTCCTGGCGAAGTTTCCTCTGCTCCTGGTAGTGGGAGAAAGCCAAAATGTTATCACAGCTGCCAACTTTTCAAAATTAGAAAAAAACCAACAAAAAAACCCAAAACAACAGACTCTACCCGCATATATGCCAGTGGAGAAGCACTCACACACACAAACAAGTACTCAAACACAGTAACACATGCATTCACACATACTAACATACGTGTACTCAAACAATTACACTCACACAAATACAAACACACATGCATACACACACACACACAGTAACACAACTAAACACATAGAATTACACACACCAACTCAAACACAGTTGCACACACACACACACACACTCACACACATACTCCAATAGTTGCTTACACACAAACAAACATAAGAAGCATAGGACCTACCTGCTCCAATTCCTTCACCCGATCCTGCAGTGCATACACAGTGTCCACCACAGTTCTGAAACACAGTAGACAAGACTTAGTTTTAGTTAGAGTATTATAGCACTTGCAACAATTTTAGGTCATACAAGTGCTGAAGACATTTTCTACCCCCCCCCATATTTTACGTTCTTCTTAAGAGCAACAGAAACACTAGCAATTACCCCCTTCCCCATGGGCAGTTGGCTAGTTCTCTTGTCTGGTTTCCTCCTTCTTTCCAATTAAAGATCCATCCACCGTTCTTATCTCCCCTTATTTTCATTACTCTCCGGTAACAATTTTTCATTATTGAACAACTGGAAAAGGTTGACAAGCGGATCACTTTGCTTCAAAAACTGCAAGACTCTCTACATAACTATGCAGCACATACAAAACAATTACGTATCGCAAAATGTTCGCTGACTATAGCACAAGACATTCTACAACTGTTTACCCTGCAGGAACAGATGCACAAGTGTTCACTATATAGAATTTAACAATCTACAACTGTTTACAGGAACAGATGCACAAGTGTTCACTATATAGAATTTAACAATCTACAACTGTTTACAGGAACAGATGCACAAGTGTTCACTATATAGAATTCAACAATCTACAACTGTTTGTTTTTGTTTTTGTAAGTGTTTTACGGCACTTGCAACACAATAAGGTCATGTAAGTGCCGAAGATTAGAGGAGTTACAAGAGAGTACCAAACACAAAAAAAAAAAGGAGGAGAGATAAGGATGATAGATGTTTGATAGGAAAGAAGAAGCAAACCACACCAGAGCACCCGCCAACCACCCACTACAACTGTTTACAGGAACAGATGCACAAGTGTTCACTCAGACATTCTACAACTGTTCAGCATACAGGACCAGACATTCTGCAACTGTTCACTATACAGCACCAAATATATTTTACAACAGTTCACTATACAGTGCCAAATGGTCGCTTTTAAGGACAAGCGGGCTAACCCAGCTTTCGGGGTTTCCAGAAATCTTGACCTACCCCAAAAGTGGACATTGCCCTACCTATAGGAGAAGTTAGGTTTCATTGGTGTATATATTTGTTTGGTTACAGAAAAAAACTCTCCTTGTCTTTTAAAGACACTGACCAGGGGGCAAAAGCTTTACCTTCTATTTTCTCACAGCTTGTTTTGGGATAGCCCCCTTGTGCTTAAAAGCGACCAAATACATTCTATGACTGTTCATCATACAGGACCAGACATTCTACAACCGTTCAATTTACAATACCAATACGGTATTTAACATATTCCACAACTGTTAATCATACAGGACCAGACATATCCTAAAATTGTTAACCACACAAGTACAAACCTTTCCTGCTGTTCTGTCTCATCAAAGACTTTCTCTTCCTCCGCTAAGAGTATTTGAGGACTATTCAAAATAGCTGGAAAAGACAAAGACAAAACATATGTCTATGAGGTTTCATATGTTGAGAAAATACTGTCAAAAAGTCAAAACATAGTGCGATGATGGGCGACTTAGAAGATAAATAACAAATGAAAAAGCAATGTAAATGAAATAGAACCATGAAATATCAGACAAAATATTGAAATACAAAGTTGTGAAATATAGATGCGATTCAAAGAACTTATTTCTGGTCTTGCCATACAAAAAGGATAATTTAATTAAAGGAAAACAAGTATCAAAGTACATAGTTTTTAGTTTTCACCATGATACAGTTGAGTATTTCGCTTACTGCCCCATTTTTCACTTACAGTTTTGAAAACATAGTGATTACCCCAACTATAAAAGTGGCCAACTGCAAAATAAACTTTTTAGATGCTAGGAAAGAGTAAGCAGGAACCGTTGATACAAGAATCACATTATTAATCTATTAAGGTTTTGGTTATGTCTTTGTAAGAGTTTTACTGCACTTGTAACACAAAAAGGTCACATAAGTGCCAAGGATTACATCAGAGTCTGAACAGCCTTCCCATTGTTCCTGTTCTACCTTATAGCAGGCATACAGACACATCAAAAGGAACTTAAATACAACCAAATCTTACTGACACACACAAACAAACTCAGCAAAACCTTAAAAGGTACAACAATCAAGGCAGAACACTGTAAGCAGTACACCAAACCATGAAGAGAGATCAACACTTTTGACACAGTCACAGCTAGAGAAATGTATGTTTGTTTGATTTTTAAAAATATAATCAAAAAGAAAAGCAATCATGGTCATTTAGTGCTAAGAAAAAAAAGCAAGATGTAGAGATTTGTTATGGCATGAGACAGTTCTTTGTTTCAGTGTCAGTAAGAGTTCTACTGCATCTGCAACACAGTATGGAAGTGCCACCTAATAAAGCTGTTACTAGAGAGTAACATATTTTTAAAAAAGGAGAAATAAGGATGGCAGATGTTTCATAGAAAGGTAGGCCCAGGACCAATGCCAAAGTGCTGATCTCATACATTCGAAAAAAAAATTTAAGTAAACAATATATCACAACAATTAACACATAAATAAATATATATAATAACACACAGGGCACACAGTGTTAGCTAACTATGTGTAGTTAAGACAATACAGAATGCAACAATAGAACAAAAATATCACTACAAGACTGTGTTCTCAGCATTGTGCAAAAAGAACGGATAAATCATACTCAAGCAGTTCAAAGACAACTCCACACTTCATTTATTGTCTTTTGTAAAGAAGCCAAATATTTCTAAAATGTGTTGGGAACAGGTGAGAGGGAGGAAGAGAAAGGGAAGGCAAAAGAGGAGAAGAGATGAGGGGGGAAGAGAGGGAGGGGAAAGGCAAATGAGACAATATGGTGAGACTCCTCTTTCAAGGGTGTGGGAGAGAAAGAGAGAGAGAGAGACAGAGACAGAGACAGAGACAGAGACAGAGAGACAGAAAGAGAGAGAGAGAAGGGGGGGGGGGGGGGTAGGGAAGTGAAAGAGAGAAGGGTGGGGGATAGGGTAGTGAGAAAGAAAATGAGAGAGATTGAGAGAGAGAGAGAGAGAGAGAGAGAGAGAGAGAGAGAGAGAGAGAGAGAGAGAGAGAGAGAGAGAGAGAGAGAGAGAGAGAGAGAGAGAGAGAGAGAAACAGATAGACAGATAGGCAGAAAAAATCCAATCAAAACCAAACCAAAGACCTCTTGCACTACTATATTGGTAGACAAAAAATAATATGCAAAGTGAAAGTAAGACCAATCGCTTCACCAAAAACTGTAAAAACAAAGAGAAGTTGTGAAATAAATCCAGAGAGAATGAACAGATGGGAAAATGAAAAAGGAAATAGAAAAAAAAACTTAAGTTGACAAAATAAATGAATGAGTCAACCAACATATAAATCTATTTTAGATCAGGCATGAGCAAGTGTGTCCAAATCGCAAGCCGGATTAAGTGATTCCGGATTAAGTGATTCCGAATATCTTGCAGGCCAAAGTGGGAGAAAATTGGGTGAAATCATATTATCAAATATTAGATGTACTGCTTCCACCTGAGCCAAAAAACTGTTGACTTTTAAGTTTTGATGGCAAGCAGTTTTGGTTTCATTTATCATCAACTCAGCATGGGCCCGTATTCATGACTAATTACTGGGCTGACTCATGAGTGGACTGATGCCGCTTGTGGGTCCAATCTGGCTGGCCCACCAGCAGCTGTTTGCCCATGTCTACTCTAGATTTTTTTTTACAACAAGGGGAGAGCAAGGAGCATGTGCACATTCACATTGAACATTGCCAATGAGGAAAAATAGCAGCAAATGTGATGACAACATCAAGCAGCCACATTCCAAGACAACAAACAACAACAAAAAGTATCATGCTGAATCCATGAGTTCATAAAATTGGCAGTGCAAGGAGGAGGGACAGCGCATGGATCTGACAGTGACAGTGCAAAAGCCAAGCTGAAGTCACGTGCCTCGTAACAAAAACATCACCAACAACTCCCCCCCCCCTCCCCAGTAGACTGGACTGGTCGTACGTTTAGACTGTGCACTGCCATGGTTGCCTCTCTTTGCTATCTGTAAAAACTTCACAGCAAAATGTGGGCAACATTGACAGCACCATTACAACAAAATAAAAGGGAGGGGGGGGGGAAGTCTCGCTGTAGTTGAGTGCCTTCCTTCAAATGTGCGCTCCGTATCAGATACTCCATAAAAATTATTGCCACATGGAAATTGAACTCATACCTCTTAGATATATGTGATTGCAAAGCGTTTGAACACTACACAACAGATGCCAGTTTATAGAAGATGAGTCGCAAGAATTACTGCGAACTTTTCCTGGTGACAGGAGACGATGTAACCTAAAATGAAATTTGTTGAGCAAGGAAACCTTAAGATCTCTAAGGAAAAAAGGAGACAAGACAATGGCACCACTTTGCTGAGTGAAATTAGCTGCAGCACCACACGCAGAAATCAAGTAAGGTGTCAATAAGGACAAATCGCAGTGTAAAACAAACTTGCTTGATACCCAAAGTTCTTTATTTGAAAAAAAAAGTTTGAAATAAATAAACTGTCACATGTAAACCAAATTAAAAAATTCAAGGTTTTCATCATCTGTATTGCAACCACCGGGATAACAACCTTAGCCCAAACCAACATACCACAAAATAGTTCAACGGATAAGAAAGGAATAAGCATTAAACAATATTACAAAAACAAAAACAGGCGTATCGGGTTCAAAACAAAAGCAAAGGAAAAGAAACAAAGTACAAAAAAAAAGACAACCATAACAAATCTTGCACCTCTCTAAAGATGGCAGTATGGGCCTACATCGCGTCGTGCATGGGTGAATAGAGACAAAGACGTATCCACTAAATTTGACAGTTCCATAACCTCCTAACCTTCCCCCCCCCCCCCCCCCAACTTCTAAAACCATTGTGGTGTAATCATGTACACTACAAAAGGAGATATTCAAGCGATGAATTTAACTGTATTACCCAGACATAAAATAATGAATTATATAACCTGTCAAAATCTCCAGCCAAAATGGACGGGGGAAAAAAAGTTGCACCCTGAAAGCACAGAGGAAACAAAAGAAAGAAAACCTGAAGTACAAGCGATAAAGCAACAAAATAATCATACGACCCAGAAGCGCAACTCTGAAGGATTAACTTTGAAAGGGAAGGGGGTGACTGGAGAGACGTTGGGGTGAGGGTTTGACATGCAAACATTATCTTTCCTTGTTGAAAAACACTTTCATCTCTACTAGAATGAAATCTACTTCATTATATAGAGAACTGTAACCCTGTTAGTTAATGCTTCTTTACACTGATAATTCATCAATTTCCTAACAAGCAATTTCAGAACCACATTAACAAGAATTAATTCAAAATCTCACTTACTACTATAGTAGTAAAAAATGTTTCGCGTTGAACATCTTCAAAACAAAATCAGTCAACACCACTTGTCATTGTGACCTTAGTGAGAGGGAAAAAAAAAGAAACAAAACAAAAATTCCGCCAAACAAGCAGTTTCTAATCATTATGAATATTTTTAGTGATATGTAATGTGGTGCAAACTAGCGCTCTACGGCACTGACAACAGCGAGCAGTGACGAGGTTCGGGAATCCCCGCAGCGGACAATGTGTGCACACCACGCCAAAGGAACACGAAACAAAATAGAACAAATTATGTCACAACAAAGAATTCTAGACGCAGAGATACTGTGGTCAAAGAAATATAAATCTACAAAACTAAAGAGGAAGTTACCTGGCGATTGTTAGTTACAATTGCTCGGGGCATCAGCGAGTGACATTGGTGAATCAAAAGGAAATGAGTTCGTTTGGGTGAGCATGAAACAAAAACATGATGTTTCGAGGGGGAAATGAGAAGAAAAATAAGAAGATAATATGTCTCTACATGACTCATTTGTAGTAGCTGTTATTTTTTTATATCATTATTTTTATTATTAAATGCATATCCATGCAATAACAGTCATTTAAGGCAGCAGGGAAAAGGAAAGATAGACAGAACCATATGAAGGAAAGGAAAAAAGTGGTGTCCTCCAACCACCCGCTTGCTCATCTTCGTCTCCAAATGTCTCGAAAAGACTCATAGTGAGGTTTGTTCGCTTGTCAGTTTTAGTAAAGTTTTACCACATTTGCAACAGCATGTAGGTCAGGAGAGTACTGAAGATTTAAGGTGTTAATAGAGAGTTACAAACAAAGAAAAGAAATAGGAGAGATGAGGACAATAGATGTTTGATAGGAAAGAAGGAACAAACTAAATCAGAGCACCCGCCCACCACCCATACAGGTCAGAGAGAATGCGGGGCATGAGTGGCACCCTCAATTGGTGAGACCGCAGGTTATTTATATCTGCCATCCCACATGCCAAGCACAGCGAAGCAAAAATGCTCAATCATCAGAAGCAAGGGGAAAAACAAGTGAAGACAATATTATGATGACCCAGTACGTGACAAAATAAGT